TTAGAGCATCTGTTCTCTAATCACGCATGTGGCCAGTTGCTCTGCCCCATTTGTGATAACATGGTGAATCAGGGATACTAGATCTCAAGGAATATGATGAGGCAGGGAAAAATCTCTCCAGGACACACACCACAGAGGCCACAGATGAACCACTGCTTTTTTTATTTTCAATTTATGAGATCATTCAGGTTCTTTTACCCTTTTTAACAACTTATGTATTTATTCACCCACCCACCCCCAACTTAGACACACTAATACAGGTCTGTATGTCCTTGTCTTTCCACCCAACTCCCAATCTCAGGTTTGACTCAAATGCTGACCCTAACAGAGGATCCTCATCCCTTCATAGCCAGGGAGAAGAGGGGAAGGGCTTTCTGTGGAAAGATTACTTCTGATGAATGTCTGCTGCTGAATAATGCATGTGCTCTGTTTGTGAAGCTAATTAGCTGAATTCACTTAATGGAAAGATGGTACTAAGCATTCTTTTTCTTCCAGAAAAGGCTGAGGAATTAAATAGGAAAATCCTCCCTCACCAGCATGCCCCTGCGCTGTGTCGCTGGGAAGTCGCATCAAACCCTCTGAAGGTGCTGACCGTATTTTCCAATTGCTTTGTAATTACAGGCATCTAAAAAGCTCGATTTGACTTTTCAATAACTCACGGTGAAAACCCATTGCCAGCCCAGGCAAAGCAATTTCCTCTATGCCTGTGGGACAGAACGGATTGCAAAGGAGCAGAAGGAGAGGAGAGTGATTATTTCTTTTTCTCTCTTCTCCAGTGTTGTAGTTTGTCACTCATTTTCATTTCCTTTCAAACGCTAGTTAGTGAGCCTCCGATTCCTCAAGTGGGGATTGTTTTCTGACTTCAAAGCCTTGCAAGACCACATCTAAATCGAAATGGCACTTATCGCAGTCAACCTCTAGAGAGCATGGAAATGCAGGAGATTTTAATTTCCCTCCTTGCATGTGTATTATTCATCATTCTCTGCTATTGCAGCGAATTATCAGGGTAAGGCAATGTGTTGATTCAGTCTTTCACCATTTCTCAAATGCCATTCAGGGGTTTTAATTTTGTTTTCTTTCTTTGTGTTTTCTTTGTGTGGGCTTAGGTCTAGCTACTGTTGTTATTTTTTTTTTTTTGTTTATCTGGTTGTTTTTGCTTTTTTTCAATTTAATCTTCCTTAATTTTTCTTTCCCCTAAACAATCAAATCACCCAGTGTTTGCATTCATGGAAATATAACACATACCCCTCAGTAACTGCCCAGTCTCCGGACAGTTGACTTTAAGAAGCAGCACATATACTGAATTTTCAGTCCTGAAATCTAAAACCCTGAGAGCTAATCATGGAACCCACCATCTCTGCAGGAAGGAAAAACTAATGGGCTTGTCCCCTTTTTCTCACCCAGAGTTTTTCCACTTGACCACTCTAAGGCTCTCTGAAGGGCAGGACAAAAAACGTGGAGATATTTCTTATGAGCCCCAAGCGAGGCTCTGAGCTCAGCCCAGACCTGGTCCCAGCTTACACCACAGAGCCTCTATCTGGCAGCTGTGGGTTTCCCCGACTCTTGTATCAAGGGGTTACGAGCAGTCAGTCACTTATGCTATCCGAAGACCTGGGTGGATTTGAGAACAAAAGACATGTGTCACAGGGCTATGGCCTCTGCATGGCACAGGCCCAAACTTCCCCCAAGCATGGCTATGACATTTGTTCTCAGGAGAAGGCGATATGAACCACAGATTACATGAGCATCACTTGAGAAACTGCAAAAACTGGGTCACGGGGACTGCTCATGGGTGCAACACTAAGTAAGGGCAAAAACGGTCATGCCTGATAATGTCAGCTGAGCAGACACATGGTGGGACTGATCTTAACCATGGTCCACTCGGGGGCATCATGATGGGTATCACCTGATACAATGGCAAAGGCCTAGGAAGAGTCCCACATGCAGCAAAGTTGAAGAGAGATGGGGGAAGAGAGAGAGGGAACCCCACCTATCTACCCAGGGGTTATTTTAAGACCCTAAAATTTCATTAATAAGAATATATTCCTTCCAATTTTTTGCGTCCTTAGAGAGGCAGGCCTAGGGCTTCTTGTGACAGTTGTCAATGACTGATTTACTCAACTGGAGTCAGAGATAGGAGATGCCTGGGCTTTTGGAGGGAGCAGGCCAGGACTGGTGGGACGCGAGCCAGATGCCCAGGAAGTAAAATTTAAGAAGGAGTCATTCTCAGGTGCCAGCTGAGGAAGGAACAATAAAGAAACTGAAACAAGAGTATCCAACACAGCTCATTTTAGAAAATGAATTGGTACAGCAAGAAGGAAAGGAAAGATGAGAAAAATGAAGCAATTTACCCATTGCATGCAGCCAAGTGAAAAGATAGATGGTGGAAAGTTCAGATCTCCTGACTTCCACTCTGGAGTGCATTACTTGCTTATTTTTGAATTCTACAGAAGCCAAATTTTGTGTCATGTTGGTAATTGCAGTAATGTTTTATTATCTCTGCATTTTTTTCTGCTTTTTGGCTTAGTCAAAAAAATGACTTAGGAGTAGGATAGATTGGATTCCGGTTGCACCACTTACAAATTGATGCACCTTGGCAGAAATTACTTAGCATCCCTGAGTCATAGTTCCCCATCTGTAAAATGGGGATATTGCTAGAATTAAATGAGATAATTTGTATGGGTTTACTCAGGCAATCATTCAGGAATGTGTATTGATCACCTATGTATGTCTACCAATGCTTTGTGGAGGGCCACAGATAAAATGGCAAGCAGAACAAACATGGTCCCAGTTTTCAGTCTAGTGAAGGAAACAGAGAAACAAGATCTTTTGACTAGATGATTCATGAACACCTGCTCAAGTATTGGTTTAAAGAGGTGGACAAATGTGAAGATTTGTGTGTTCACCCTTTCTCAGTGTAGGAGTACTAGGTTAGTTGGTAGAAGGAATTATTTCTTCTTTATTCATAGGTTTCAATTTTTTCCAGTGGATTAATATAGCTCTAAACCTTACCAGGCCAACATTAGAGTTTATTGAATGGATAATGCACATTTCATAAACTCCCTTACACAAAAGACTACAGTGAGTCATGCTTTCAAAAGTGCCTGAAGATGGATTTACACCACATGACAGTCATAATGGTTCATTTGGAGCAGTTACACAGTCTGTTGGGTAAATAATGCAAGTTGTATAAATCACATTGATGCTGTGTTTACACAATAGACTATAACTGCTCCAGAGGAGCTCAAACAATCTGATACAAGAGCATTTTACAAATGATGTAAATACAGGGTAAGTTTAAGTTAATCAAGTGAAGCAGCTCCGAAAGAGGACAGGTTTGTATGGCCTGCAGGAGATAAGATGAATGAAATATGTGCTTCCGGTAAGAGTTTATGTTAGTTAAGCCTCCTGGCTGGTGAGTAACTGGAGTCAATTTAAATTCCCTTAATTAAAAAAAAGTGGGGGAGGAAGGATAGGATAATCTGTCAGAAATAGACAGGGGTGCTCGGCAGAACCTAAAAGTCAGACTGCAGCTGGGTTTTAAGGAGGAACTGAGAAATTAGAAGAGGGAATGCTGCAAAAACCCAGAAAGTTTCTTATTTCTGCCTTTTTCCTCTCAAACTTCATTCTACTCTCTCTTTGCAAATTGGCCTTCTCTGTTCTCTTGTCGGTGTGGCCTCCGAGTTTCCGAGTTTCCCTGTTACTGCTCCAGGCACATGTAGAAATAGATTTCCTGCCTCAGGTCTTAGTTCCAGTTTGCTAGGAGGGAGATTCTCATTGGCTGGCTTTGGGCCAGATCTCTCCCCACAACCCCAGCCCAGTAAGTCACTGGAAAGGGCTGGGGATCCAGCATGATCACGGCCCACTGGGCCACATGGGTATGTCTGGAGGTAGTTTGCAGAGAGGAGAATGGCTCATGGACTGGAGAGACAGCCAAATAAATGTCTGCCAGAAGTGCTGTAACCTTGATGGGACCCAGAAGCCCCGAAACACACTATGAATAGGCTCTGGAGATACTGACTGCTATAAAGACATCCATTCCTTTCTACATCAGGGAGAGGAAAAAGCTAAGAAACCTACTGGGATGTTGTCTGTTTAATGATGACTCAATTTACCTTATTTCTTTTATTCTAATGGAGTACTCATGTCTTGGAAGAATGCATTCCAAACCAAAAACAAAAACAAAAAGCAAACAAACACAAATTCAAAACACTGAAGGACAGGCATTTTGGTGTCTCCCTTCATGTCCTGTGCCCATAAAAGGAACACAAAAAGTGTTTGCAAATGTTTGTCCTTCAGATATGACCCAGAATACAGACCTGTGAGTAGACTAGGCACTTGACAAGTATCATGGGATTAATAAGATTAAGTATCATTACAATTTTAAGCTCATTATTTATAAAATTCATAAGCACAGCCCAAAGTGCATCAGTACATTGTGACTTAACCTAACTTTTGTTTTTTCAGGGATAGTTATTGTAGATGATTTTTATTGAAATATAGTTGATATACAAGATTATATTTGTTCCAGGTATATAATGTAGTGATTTGACCATTATGTATATTACAAAATGCTCACCGTGATATGTGTAGTTGCCATCTGTCACCAAGCAAAGATACGACAATGCTATTGACTATATTCCGTATGCTCTACTTGCATCCCTGTGACTAGTTTATGTTGTAATTCGAAGTTTGTATCTCTTTAAAAAAAATAGTGGGAGGCTGGTTCTTTGAATTTATGGCAGGTATGCTCGCCACCAGTCTCCAGCCTCAGTGGGGACCCTCTCTCTTGGGGTACCCAGAACCACTACTTCCCTTTTCTTGCCTCTGTTTTTATGCCCCTTTCCTTTGTAGATAGCTCTCACAACCCAGGATAAAAACTTGTTTATCACTTGACTAGCTGAGCTTGGATATGATACTTATTTACCTCATCAAAAAAGTCCAATATGGATGAGCAGACATTTAGGGAGCATTTGAAACACTCCTGTGTCCTTCCCTACCTTCACGGACATCACCTGTTCAGAAATGGCCATCCAGTCTGTCGCCATGTTTTTCCAAAGGTTTGCTGGGTTGTATTCCTTTTTATAGAAAATACAAGAAAGATTAAGGAACAAAACAAAACAATACCCATAACTCCACCCATCAGAGATGATCAGTGTTAACATTTTGTTTTATTTTCTTTCAGTTCTATTTATTAATAAATTTATTTTAGTTGGGCCCATATTGAGTCTGTAATATGATACACTGCCTTTATCCAAGTGTTAAAGATATTTGTAAATATTTTAATATGAATACATAAATTAATATTTAATACTTAATAAATATTTACAACATACTGGTTCTTACGCATTTTCCATCATTCTAATTACATCACTTTTTAAATATTTATGTTACTTGCTATTGCCTTGAGATATATATATATATATATCAAATTTTCCTTTAGAAAGACAATACCAATTAATATTCCCGTAGTTTGTGTAAGTGTCCCTCAGAAAAACCCCTTCATGAGTATTGAGTATTGACAAGTTTTATAGAACACATGCCATGTTCTTAATTTAATTTCTACTCCTTTAAATGTTATATCTTATGTGTTTATCAGCCATCTTATTGCTTCTTATACTATTTCTGTCTACATATATTATCTATGTCTATGTATCTGTACATACCTTTGACCATTTATTTATATAGTGTTTTTCACTCATTATTTGTTGCCTACAGTCTGCCAATTTTAATAAGTGATTTATCTGACTTTTGCCTTTTAAATTTAAGATTTATTTTTGGCCTAAGAAGTATCTGGGCACTTACATAATCAAATTCATCCATATTCCCTTTGTAACTTTTCCATTCATTCTAGGCATTCAAAGTCTTTGATGTGCAAATACTTATAAATATTCCTCTATATTTCATTCTGGTCTGAATATATTTTCATTTTCTTGCATTAAACTATTCAGTATATGTGGTATGCAGGACACAAATTAATTGTATTTCCTGAATAACAACTACCTTTCACCAAAACCAAAGTTTGTTTGAAATATTCAATTTACGAATGTCTTCTTGAAGAAAATCAAAGAATCCTATGGTTAAATCAGTTCAAGCACTGCACACTGTTTCTCTTCTTGTTACTTCATAGTACATAAGTGTTTATTAACATATTAAAGGCTGTGAGTGGTTCTTTAATAAAGGAAACTATTTCACTGTTTAATCTTGCATTTTTGAAACTCCTCTGTACCATTTTTAAGACCTGTCTCCACAAAAGAAGGACAAGGGAGAAATTATAGAAAACTGGTCTTTCACTGAAGAATACACAAGCTCTATTTGAGGAGTTAATTAACTCCGTTCAGGATGTGAAAGGACAGACTGTGGAGAACAGTTAGCCAACACTCCACGTGGGGCGCAGCACCCAGCGTTCCATATATCCATTTAAAAAGAGAGGTCTGAGACTTAGGGAATTTAAATGCCTTGTGCAAAGTGGCACAGTAATAAACGTTATCATTTGAACCCAAGTCAGGGCTTCTCCAAAGCTGTCGTTTATCCCCTGATAAACTTCTAAAGCTCTGTAAAACAAGGGCATGTGAGCTCCTTAATGGAGAGAATATAGTTTTGCCTCCAGATGCTCCAGTCATAAAGTTGAAGTGTCTCCTAAGATACTTTTATGCAAAATTACTTGATTACGCAAAATCCTTTCATTGCTAAAAAGCAATCCCTTCCCATCCCCACGTTCACCAGCTATAGAGGCTTAACAGAAGCTGAGCTCTTTATGGGGCCATATAATAGATCTCCTATACAGAGCATCTTGAGCAAATTATTATCAAACAGACCATCTCTCTACAGATTAAACTGCTAAAGTAAGCCATATGCAGAGAAAGAAAAAAGCCACATCAAACTCTGGATAGCCAGGCAGACCCTATGCCTGTAAGTAATTTCCAGGTTTCTGCTAGATTTGACAACTGAACTCCAAACTGGGTGATTAATGCAGCAACTTATCCAACCTGGAAAGCAAAGAGGAGGGTTTAAGATGGATAATGAGTTTAAGGAAGAGGAGAGGACTTTGGTAAGTCCATTTATTTATCTGACCATTTATCCCATGGTCAGATTATTTTACTACATTGTAAACTCTTGACTGTGGTTGGTGGGTAGGGGTGGCTGGCTATTAATTCACATTTCTATGTTTAGCAATGCACTCAGTACATGCCATGCCCTTAACATATGCTCAAGAAAAAATTCAAAACAGTTGAAAAGTATACAAGGGTCAGGAGTTAAGGGGGGAGATTAAAAACAAAACAAAATTTAATACATTTTGCTCTCTAGCTAAACTGAATTGTCAAAAACTGATAAATTGCCCAGGGTCTTACAAAGGAATGTTTCAGGGCTTTGGGAATAATGCACTTCTTCATATTCTGTCCCCCAAAGAAGACATATAAAAGATCAGAAAATGGTTCTTTTATACCGACCTTCAGTTGTATTAGAGACCCCAAAGCACACCCACCAGCAGGGCAGGGCAGGCAGTGGAGAGAACGTGGGGGGAACAGTTTGGCCCTTCTGTGCCTCTCCCATTTAGAGTGACCACCACGGACAACCCACTGACGAATGTTCTGACCCAGTAGTGTTCCAGACAGAGGGACTTTCTACAGTCCTAAAATAAAGTTGTTATTGTAGGGGATTTCTTGCCCTCAGTCTAAAGTTTTTTGGTCTTTCTTGCAGCAGATGAGCTAGCATATTTTAGGGAAGTCTCTTCCCTGGCACTTAAAGAAATTTTCTTGGGGACCCAGGGACTGTTAGAAGGTGGCCTCTTTCTTTTTAAAGAGTGGGCATTTTGTCACCAGAAAAAGCCAAGCTGGAAATTCGGTTCCACTACTTCCCAGTGATGTGACCTTGATCACCACTTAGTTAATATATTCAAGGTGAAAAGCATCTGCCAATTTCATTTGGTATTAAAATGAAAACGATAATGATACCTGCCTTATATTGTTGATGACATTACAAGATAGTGTTTGAAAAAGGTAGGCCTAGTTCAAGCTCCCAATAAACTATAGTTTATTTCTTCTTTTCTCACCTGCTTCATAACCTTCTCTGAAGTGACATCTGTCAGGAAGACATGGAATGGTTCTCAGGATTTACTGACTTTCATTTAACAGATAGCCGTAAGGAGTCAGCATGGACTTAGGGTGGTAACGTTTATATAAAACCTATATGTATTAATACTGCCCAAGAATCAAAGTTGGTGAGAAGTCTCTTGAAGGATTAGAAATAATTAACAAAGAGGTAAATGTGAATGTGTCCTGTTTCCCTATACCCTCTTCCTCCTCCCTTCCCTCTGTCTTAATCTGCTCAGGCTGCTGAGCAAAATACCATATACTGGGTAGTTTAAACAACAGGAATTTTTTCTCACAGTGCTGGAGGCTAGAAGTCCAAGGTCATGGTGTCAACAGATTTGGTTTGGCGAGGGTCCTCTGCCTGGCTTACAGATGGGCCACCTTGTCACTGTGTTTTCACATGGCAAAAAGAAAGAGAGAGCTCTGGTCTCTTCTCGTAATGACACTAATCCCTTCGTGGGTCTCTACCTTCATGACCTCATCTCAGCCTAACTGCCTCCCAAAGACCCCCCTTTATTGCCATCACCCTGGGTGGTTAGGGCTTCGACATGTGAATTTGAGGGGGACACGGACACTTTGCCCATAACACCCCGCCTTCTTCCTCATCATGCCCCCACGCTTATTCCTTCTCTATGCTTGACATCCATTTAGTTACCAAATACTATTGCTGTAGAAAAGAGAAACCGCAGTATGATTATACAGGCTAACAGGAATATTTTGTCATATATGAGTAGTAAGTAGCCTTAACAAACTGCAAGAGTCTAGACATGTTATCTAATTGTCAATGGAGGGAATGCAAGCAGATCAATTATTCTAAAATAAAAAATCTTTATTTTGCCTATAATGGCTTAAACTTAGCCATCTAAACAGCAAGTCAACTCAGTTTCCTAGAAGTATATTTTATAATTTATTTGTCCTGGATATTTCCCCAAAGCATTGTATTACCTGAAGTTGGATATTTTGTGGGTAGTTATTTCAGTTATTGAACTTTGAGGTTTTATACTACAGAGAAGAGATTAGGAAACTTTGTATAAAGGGACACAAAGAAAATATTTTAGACTTTTTAGGTCATTTAGTCTGTCAGAACTACTCAAATCACCATAATAGCACCAAAATCAGCCATAGAAAATAAACATGTAGGCATAGCTGCATTCCAATAAAACTCTATTTATGGACATAAGTTCAGATTTCATACACTTTTACATGTCCCAAAATAGTGTTGCTTCTTTGATATTTTTTCAACCATTTAAATATGTAAAAACCATTTCAGCTCATGGGCCATATAAAAAGAGGCAGCAGGCTACCCCTGCCATATAAAATGTGCCATGCTAATCCAAACCTCAGAAATCATTAAGGTGGTTGCTACCAAATACCATTTGTATTCAATCATTCATTTCCCTAACCTTGCTAATGGGGCTGAGATGGATCATTTCTGGTTAGCTAACATGAGAAACATAGACGACCTGGATTCTTGCTCCATGTTTGTTCTGAGTGATCTTCGAGAAGTCTCTGAACCCCTCAGCAGCCTGTAGCAAGCATATGGAAGATTCTGACACTGACAGTGAGGATCACAGGGTCTGGCCCTGCCTACCTCTCTAATCTCAACCAATATCATTCTCTCCACCCTCACCCATTCCCTACTCTTCAGGTTCCTCAATGTGCCAAACTCATTGCTGCCTCAAAGCCTTTGCACTTGCTCCTCCCTCTGCCTGGAATTCTTTCCCCAGAGACTTAGATAAATGAATCATACATATAATTCATCTCTTTTCCTAAATACAGTTTCTTCCACGTGGTCTTCCTCAGCCTCTTGATCTAGAACAGCACCTAACATCCACTACTCCATCTCCTTGTCCAACTTTCTTTTCTACATCAGCACATACTGATATAAAAGCAATCTTGTTCACTTAGATGTTTACTTCTTTGCTATCTATCTCCTGTAATAGTGATGAACAAACTGACCCACTGCTAGAACAGGGCCCGAAAGACCTTCATTGTTTCACAGTCACTGATTGGATGGACATTATCCAGCATGTGTCTCTGGAATTAAGAGATCTTTGAAGCCCTTATCCTTGGAACCAATCCCCAGAACCCTATTCTGGGATTATTCTCTGTAATAACAGATAGTAAATATACACTTCCATGTAAGGCAAGCTCAGTGACTTTTCTGGGACCTTAAACTAACATACGGCAGGGCTAATGGGTATTTGAACCCGAGTATCAGATTTGGGAGTCTGTTTCTTTTGCCCTACTCTTTGCTGATATCTGATATCCTGCACGTGTGGTGACCAAATGTCCCTCCATCAAAAGTCATGGTGTATTTATAAGTTAGAAAACTACACAAAAGTAAAAGGGAATAAGCTACCAGTACATACCACGAGATGGCTGAATCTCACAGGTGTGATGCTGAATGAAGGAAACCAGATCCACAGGCTCCACGCTGTGTGGTCCCATTTATATGGCCATTTATAAGGTCAACACCAGGCGAAGCAAAGCGGTGTTGATCAAAGTCAGAGTGCAGCTTTTTCTGAAACGGAGAAACAGCACAAAGGAACCCCCCTGGGTGTTTGAAATGTTCTGTCTATAAATGTGTGCTCGTGTGTAAAGCCTACTTAAAGGTGTGCACTTTACTGTACACATGCTGTACTTAATAAAGAATCAAAATTGGACAAAAATTGAAACATAAAAAAAAGTCAAGATATTTATAGAAATGATAGGATAGTGCAGTGGAAATCAGGATGACCTGGAAAATTCCAGAGATATGGTGTCTGTAGTTAGACAAAACTTCATGGACCATCTAGTGGGGAATTCACAATTCTCTCAGTGACTGACAGCTGAGGGGAAGACGAGACTAACCTCTGCCATCTGTCTGAAACCACCTCCAAAAAAAGCTGAGCCGTATAAAAATTTAGAGAAGTGTCTCATTTTCTCCAGCTTGTTGGCCTTGGAGTTAATGAAGCACTTTCTTCCCTGACTTGGCCTTTCTCCTGACCACCTACTTTCACTCGAACAAGTGAGGAAAAGAAGAGAAATGCCTGTCAAACTTGAATCATGTTAGGCAGGAAAATAAGCTTGTTTCACTGCTGTTTGTCATGGGAATTATCTCGCATTAAAAAGATTCAACAAATCTTTTCCTTTTTTAAAAAATAACAAGTCATAAAAACACCAGGCCATTTATGCATGGAAATATCCCAGAAACTGAAAGGGTCAAATCAGTCTTTAGAAAAGACGTGCCCACTCCATGAGAAAGAACTGGAGGTCTGGGTTCTTTGGGAAGAGAGTGTATGTGACTGTGGCAGGGGAGGAGGGGAAGGACAGTCACCCCTAAAATGATTTCAGAGTCCTAAGAGACAAGTCATGGATAAGCGACCTCCTTGAGAAGCTTTGATAAATGACATTTCTGCTAATAGCAAGTCAAAGGACAAGATCACTTGTCCTTTGAACGGGGCTGAGCCAGCTATAGATCAGGGCACCCTGGCTTGCCTAGTAAATGAAGTCACCACAGAGTCTAAAGCAAGCTGTGTCTAAGGCTGAGTCTTGTTTATGGAAAATGAGTTTCAAGGCTTGGCTTTGCTTGAGCTCAGAGCCTTCTGGGCTGCAGTACATGGGTTATTCTTCACAAAGTAGCTCTTGTCCACAAGAGCAAGTGTCCTGATTCCAGGCCTCCGCGTGGAGCTCAAAGGCTTGGCCTATCAGTTTCCTTCATTTCCTGTGGGCTTGGCCACCACCCTGTCTCAAAAGGCCGCTTTTACAACTACACCCTCAGTTCCTTTGGACGTTGGTACCTCATCCGAATAAGAAAGCCAAGAAACACACCAAGTATACATGGGCTGGAAGCAGAAAAAGGTGGCGAAAAATGATGTGGCTCTTTTACAGCATGACTAGCTCATTCACACCCCCTTTCACATGCGCAGACATCCCGGCAAAGTACTGAGTTGCCCTCTCCTCTTAGGAACTGGCTGGGACCACAGGACAGCTTGCTCTTCAAACTCATTCCTGTGCAATTTCCTCTCCCCACATAGTTCTTTATCAGAAGAAACTAATTACTTGCTGCCATTTTCTGCCTTCATCAAGAGCATTATGTAAAACTAGGACAAGATTTGATAAAGGCCTTTAATTATGTTTCTTTGCCCCAAGTCTCTGTGGAGTGCTCAGCGTTGCCAGGATAAATGTGATGTGACTCTGGGGACTTGAATTGCTGATATCTGAGCAAATAAATAAAATGGACTAAAATCTTGTTAGGAATGATGAAGGCTGCCATGGCAGAGAGCGTTTGGAGTTGTCTATCAAACACACCTTATATTCTGTGGTCTCTGTTTCCCTATTTCTACCTTGGCAAACTTTTCTACTTTCTCCAACATATGCATGGCACAAGCACATCAGAAGAAATTTGCACTGCTCTCTGCCCTTTTCCTTGGTCTCTTTTGGTTTGTACATAACAGGAACTCTTTTTAGGGCTGGGGATGAAAAGGAACTGTGGGTGAGTCTGCACTGTAACCACAAGGAGGATCTCAGTATACTCCTGGGGAACACATATTGGCGACCTTTTCCACCATCCTGGCTCAGTAATGTATTGGATCAACACAAAAGGGGACCTGTGTGAGGAAGGGGAAGTTTCTCCATCCCCCTGCTTCAAAGCACATGAAGATGCCCAAGTAAATCAGAACAGCTGCTGTCCAATGAGGTCCACAGCATTTGCAGGACTAGGAGGCCTGGCCAAGGTAGGTAGGGGTCAGAGTTCATCAGGTTCATCCATGTCCTCTGGGGATGTTGGCCTCTGTGCGTTTGATCATTTTTTCACTTCCCAGACATTTTGTCACTTTTCTGGGACCCTCTTTTCAGTACTTGAAATATTCTGAGGTCCCAGAATTTCTTAAAGGAGAGAGAAATGTGGCTGACTATAATTAGGAAGTTTTTAGTATCCTTGAGATCCTGGTGAGGTTTACAGGCAATATTGATCTTATTTCCTTTTTGCTGTGTTTCTCTTTTGCTGTAACTTACAGAAGCCAGAAGAATCACCTTTCCCAGGCTAGCCCTTCACAGTATCAACACCTCCCAGCACAACCCCATAGCCATCCCGTTTGCAAGGGGAGTAAAGACCAGAACCAAGCAAGATGCAGAGATCTTTGGCTTCTGTCTCAGACTGTACTTACCCATCTTTTCCTTTCTCATAAAACATTGGGATTTTTCTGAAGTTTTCCATATGTACTGAAGAATCTGAGTCTTACCAGATACGTTGACCTGTGTGACCATCTCTCCAGTTCAAATATGTGTATCCAACAGCCAAATCTAAGCCAGTGTTTAGAATGGGGACACTTTTGGCATTTGGGGCAAAAAAATGTTCATCACATGGGACCACCCTGCACATTGCACTGGAAGATTATAACATCCACCTTAGTCTGCTCAGGTGGCAGCATGACAAAATGCTACTGACTATGTGGCTTAAAGAACAAACACTTCTTTTTCACAGTTCTGGGGCTGAGAAGTGCAAAGTTAAAGCACCAGGATCTGACGAGAGCCCACTTCCTGGTTTGCAGACAGCTGTGCACCAGCTGCGTCCTTGTGTGGTGGCGAGCGTGAGCCCTCGTGTCTCTTTCTCTAGTCAAAAGCACACTAATCCCATCCTGGGGACACTACCCTCATGAGCTCATCTAAACCTTATTCTGTCCCAGAGGCTCCATCTCCAGTACCATCACATTAGGGAACAGGGCTTCAGCCTGTGAATGGGGAGGGTGGTGGATAAAATTCAGTCCACAGTAACACCCCTCGTCTGCACCCACTAAAAGCCATTAGTGACCCCAACCACTGTGCTGAATTGAAACACTGACACATATTTCCTAATGCTCTCAGCAGAGAACCACTACATGTAAACAAACAAACAAAAACCATCAGACAACGGGAAAGGTTGTTAAAACAGGATGGCTTTGCTCAGTATATGAGAGAACACATCCTGGAAAGCTGTTAACAGTGCAGTCATGACTTTTAACACCACATCCGCCTATTAGAAGCCTGGGAGGCCCCCTAATCCTGAGTTATGCCGCCAGTGCTCATGGCGGGCACCTGCTGAACAATGGGTAAGGTGTGGCTCCTGTTCTCAAGGAGACCACAGTCCAATGGCAAAGGGAGAGGCAAACAAGCGTGCACAGTGAGGTGTTCTCCACCGTGGCTACCTGAGCAGGGCCAAGGGAGAGCAGGATGGAGGACGGGGACGGGCTCCCAGGGCAGAGAGGACCCCACCTGAGAGGCCATGTGTGTAGCGTGATGCGTGTGGCACACCTGTGTCCAAAGCCCAGCTCTGCCCCTGGTCAGCTGGGCAGCCCAGGGTAACTCCTCCGTCTCACCAGCCTCAGTTTCCTGCTCTGTCAAACAGGGAATCTGAAGGCCCCCATCTCACAGGGTGAGTCTGAGGAGCAAATGAGTGCAAGCACACAGCCCCTGGTGTAGAACAAGAGCCCTGTGATATAATGAGTTATAGAAATACATATTTGGCCATTCATATGACCAAATATATATTTCCCGGGTACATCTGGTTTTCATTCACTGCTCCTGAAGACACTACAGGGTCTTAAACATGAAATGGGTGTCTCGTCCTGTAGATGAGAGACTTCTGGAGCTCCACCCATGAACAGGGGCTGGAGGTTGAATCAGCCAATGGCCAATAGTTAAGTCATTCATGACTATGCAGTGACAAACCGCCTGGGAAGAGCTTATGGCTCTCTCGGATTCCGCCTCTCAGTCAGACAGCGCTTCTATCCCTGGGGATCTGGAACACCTCCACGTGCCACCGAACCAGGCCCCAGGCTCCATGAGGATAGACGCTCCTTAATTTGGGAACTCGCCCTCTGTCTCTCTTCATCTGCCTGCTAACTTGTATCCTTTACGGTGTCCTTTATTACACTGGCAAATGTAAGTGTTTTCCTGAGTTCTGTGAGCCACTCTACCACATTAATCGAAACAAAGGGGAAGGTCATGGGAACCTCCTATCTGCAGCCGGTAAGTCAGAAGCCCAGGTAACCATCTGGGGCCTGTGACCAGCGTGTGGAGCTGTGAAGGGGTGGAGGGCAGACCTGCACCATGTTTGAGAACTGCTCGGGGTTGTGTTTGTGGGCAGACCCCTTCCCACATACTTACACATATTGGAATCTGGTCCGGGAACCCCAACAGAGTCACACTATTACTGCTGAGGATAGTACTCTTGTTGTATATAAGAGAACACATCACAAGTTCTTTCAATATTTTTTACAGAGTAATTTGAGACCTGGAGGATAAGCATCAGAAAACAGGTGAGAGAACATCCCACTCATGAAGACAGACTCTTCCCTGAGCATTGATTGCTCCAAAGCTGTGAGAAGATCCATTTCTGATTTGGAGGCCTCGTTTCTAAGAGGTGTGCCTTTGAACGAAATCTTAACCTCAACAACCCTCAGTGTCCTTGTTTATGAAATGGAGAAAATGCCACCCAATATTAATAAAAATAGTGGTGCTTTGCAAACCCTAAAGCCCCCATGTAAGGGAGCATGGACCACA